TTAATATGAAAATTTATATAAAATTAATTAAAGATATCTTAATAAGACTACAAGTTAGAAAAACTCTTAAAAATTTTACCAAACATAAGTACTTAGTGGTTGGCAAAAAAAAATCCAAAATTATGTAAGAGTTTAGATAAAACTACTAATCCCCAGCCCCTATCCACCATATCCTTAATTTAATAAGATAAAAAAAAAAAAAAAAAATTTTCCTTTCAGTTTCCTCAAACCAAACATATCCTAAGGTTCACTATATAAATAAGAGAAATCTAAGGTTTGTATGTACGCAATGGCTTCCTCTCCTAAACATTTCCTCCTCTTAATCCTTTTCGGGATCTTCCTAACAACTAGTGATGCCGTTGGTCTTTTTGATCCAGAGTTGCTGCATGTTCGAATTATCAATGACATTGGGCCGGGGATTGACCTTATTTTTCATTGCCGCTCGAAGGATGATGATCTCGGAGAACATAAGATCGGCCATAAAGTTTCATGGGGATTCAAGTTTTACACTAATATTTGGGGCACAACACTATTTTACTGCAGTTTTGCATGGCAAGACAAGTTCTATTACTTCGATATTTTCATCGACAAGAGAGACTATGATTATGACGATGTGGAAGAACATCCTTGGTATTTATGGAGTATTGTCCCCAGTGGCCCTTGCCTATTAAATAATAATACCGAACAATTTGATATTTGCTATCCGTGGCATTCCAGCTGATTAAGGACTGCAAATGGACTACAGAGGTTGAGGATTTGGGCATCTTCATATATCAAGGTTGTTAAAATCAAGATTTTACCTAAAATCGTTTTGGTTAGGTAAAATCGGAATAGTAAAATTAAATCGATAAAATCAAGAGTTTACTAAATTTAATAAATAAATAATAAAAATTTATACTTTTATATTAATATAACTAAACTTCAATAATGAAAAATCAAATATGGAATTAAAGTTTATAATAACTCTAATAAGAATTAAATTTTAATATTATAATATATGATACTATAAAAAATTAAAAATAAAAAAATTTTGAAAAAGAAATTATTGTTTAAATTAAATCACATTTATTTTCTTTATTTAAAAATTAAATATATATATATATATATAAAACAAAAAAACAAACACTCAATTGGCGTGTCAACATATATAATCCCCACACAATCCCCATTAAAAAGAATACCCCTCCATCCCTTCACCTTCCTTGCTTTCTCCAGTGTCATTTTCCCTCTTTTCTACCATTGTTGCTCCATTCAAGCTCTCTTTCTCCTTATCTACTCCTTTTTTTTGCAACAGATTTTAACCCTTTTTGCAACAGATTTTAACCTTTTTTGCTTGAGCAGTGAGCAGCAGCAACCAACTCCTACTGTGTAGGCTGGCTCCAAATGATTTGGGTCAAATAGATTTCCGTCCCGCCAGCAAGTGCCTGTGCAGTGAGCAACAACAGTCAGTAGCGACACCGCAGCAATCCAATCTCTCCCTCCCCTGCAACAAACCCAAATTAAAGAGGATCACAGATCAAATTTATGTCTGGATTTTTGAAAGCCTCTTCTTCAATCTCCATGAAAGTAAAATCGAGATTTCAAACAATTTTACTGTAAAATCGTGATTTTATGATTTTACCTCCAATTTTATGGAAATCCGATTTTAACATAAATTTTACTCGAAATGCATACTTAAAATCGTAAAATGTATGATTTTACAATTTAAAATGCAATTTGAACAACCTTGTCCATAACGCAGAATCCAACAATCGTGTATCCATCAAATAAATATAGACAATAAAACATGATGTTTTGGATTGTCATTTCTATAATGTCAAACCTTCAAAAAAAAGTGGGTAGATCAAAGCTTTCAATACCGTATCAATATGCATATTGATTTTAGTATTGAAACGTTACAAATCAAATAATGAAATTTTTTACATACTATTTTAGATTTATCACTATAAATATATATTTTTATAAATTAAATAGAACTTTAAAGTAAACAACAGGAGCATTGCAGAAACAATGGTAGGGTTGTTTGTTGGACAGTTCGAGTCTACTTTATTTCTGGGGTTGGACTGGATCATTAGATAAGGGAATTTGCACAAGGACAGAACTTGATTTGGAGGAAAAGAAACATAAAGAATAAATAAACTCAAAATAGACAAAAGACTCAAAAGAGACAAAAAAGATTGAAGATTGAATTGAAAGAGAAAAGTATCAACAAATGCATGTAAAGAAACTTACTAGAATTGAAATTTGGTTATTCCATTACATATACTTTGAAAACATAAAATATTAAAAATTGAAACAGAAAAGCTTACCACAATATGATCTCTTTTATGTAATCAAGCTATATCTCCTTTATTTTTGTTTAGAAAGTGAAAGAAGTAGAATTGGGAAGAGAGAGTAGCAACCAGCGAGAATTGCAGAAGAGAACTGGAAGTCTGGAACAAGAGAAGTTCTTGAATGAGGGTTTTCATTTTAGATTTAAGCCCAAATAGCCAAAATGACATCATTTTGCTTGTGGGATTCCATTTTTTTTTAATCCAATGTGGTTTTGTATTAGTATAATTTCACACTATATGAGTTGATATGCAAAATACCAACTGATACATCAAAAATTTGACCAAAATGAATGAAATTTGACTGAATTCAAATTAAAACCAATATTGTTTCCTATTAATAGTAAAACTGGTACGAATTGTACATATTGGCCATATCAACCAATGCATACTGTTTCAACAACCCTTGAGTAGATTGTACATCTTACAATTATTTGTGAAGGGTGTAAAGGGGACTACAAAACATCATTCTCTTGAATCTTATAATAGGTAATGATAGGAAAATTATTATAACTAATCAAATTATTTCATTGGCCCAATGATTTAATTTGATTAGTTAAAATAATGTCACCTTTCCTTCCCTTTCCTCTGTTTCCCTAAAACCGAGTAGGTTATTAATTAGACCTAACATATGAGTCGGTGTATTTGGATTAATTTACCTCAAGTCTCAAATTTATTGAGTTGGGTCATTACAGGTATCAAGTTAAGGAGTATCATGATCCACTCACATGGGTCTCAAATTAAGTTGGGGTGGGTTCAATTTTATTAAAAAAAACTAGTTTTTGTTTTGCCTGTGCATTGGACGGTTTTTTTCTTAATTTTTTATATTAGAGTTTAGATTTTTTATTATTTTTTATCAACTCTTGGATTTTATAATGATTTTTAATTGAAAAATTTTAAGTAATTAAAGTTGAGTTAAAAATTGTGTTTAGTAATTAATAGGAGTATTTTTTGAAAAAAAAATTGTATATAATCACATTAAAAAAAGAATATGTAATATCCTAAAATTTTGTGATATTTTAGCATTTAAGTAAGGGTTCTTGTGAGAGAAAATATTATTTTGGGACTTATTAGCTAAAATATCGAAAGTTGAGGGGCTTAAAAGAGGAAAGAATTTGGATAAGGATCAGCTATTTTTTTCTCCTTTTCCTCTTTCTTCTTCAACTCGATTCTGCTCTTGTTCTTCATCCCCGACAGGCCCTCAAGCCCCTCCAGCCACCAACTCATTTCTTTGAGAAAATTGGTGACAAAGCTTGAAATTTCTCCTTCTTTCTTGCTCAATAACAAGTTCTAGGACTTAGAACTCTCTCTCTTAACCCAGAAATTTCAGATCTGCTCTGCTCTTCCTCCCCTGTCCACCGGTGTTGCTAGGCACGAAATTCTGGGCTTTTCCGGTAAGCCACAGCCATGAACTTCATCTTTTCAGCTTGATTTAGCTTGGGTTCATTTTAAATCTGTTG